GCCTCGCGCCATACAACCGGGACATTGACTATGCAACAAAGAGATAATAACGGTAATTATATCTGCGATCGAGCCACCGAAGAACGATCTATCATAGGCTATTGCAACATGGTGCAACAATAACTGCAGAAAGCTATAGTCATGAAGTTAAATGCTCGAGTGATGAATTGCCGAGGGAAAAAGTCTGTTAAACTCTGGAGTGATGAATTGCAGAAAAAAAAGACTGTTTTCTGGCCACGGAAGTCATCTGGTTACACGAAAATGCTCGCTTGCATATCGCTGCAGTAACAGATTACCGTGTGCATTTCACTGTGCACTCCTGGGCGACTGAGTTTTACCAACGTTCGCCAGTCCTCGCGTCTAATCCGTTTCTTAACATTGCTATTCCAATTGTTTGCTTTCTGATTTATTTCTGATGACTACAGATATATTTTGATCTGACAATATTATATTATATTATATTATATTGTATTGTATTATATTATTATATTGTATTGTATTGTATTATATTATTATATTATATTGTATTATACTATATTATTATATTATATTGTATTATATTAAATTATTATATTATATTGTATTATACTATATTATTATATATATTATATTGTGTTATATTATATTATATTATATTATATTATATTATATTATATTATGTTATATTATATTGTATTACGATATTTACAATATTCATTTAATAGATTTGTATTACATTGCATTACAATCTTATGTATTGTTCTACAATCTTTGTTACATTGTCATGTAATATTTATTACTTTAAGAAGGCTTTTGTCTCGGTCGGTCAGTCCATTCTACTTAATAAACTCGAAGCTTATGGGATCAACGGCAACGTGCCAGCATGGATAAGTAGCTTTACATCAGCTATAGATCCACAGATTGTAAGATTTAATAACTTTTTTTCCTTACGCGATTAGTGTAACGACAGGAATTCTTTAGGGACCTCATCGTGGTCCGCTACTTTTTATATTTTTCATCAATGACATACGAACGCTTCCATTGCTCTTACTTTCTGCTCTTTGCTGATGATCTCTGAAATAATATTATTATATATTATGAATAATGTGTGTGTGTATTATGTAATATTAATATATTATGAATAGTATATTATATAATATTAATATATTATGAATAGTATATTATATAATATTAATATATTATGGATAGTATATTATATAATATTAACATATTATGAATAATATTATTATATATTATTATATGATTCATTTCGCTAAACATCGAGCCTGTCATTAATAACGGAAAAAAATATCGCAGAGAAATATATAATTACGTTTAAATGCTGTGTCGAACAAGAATTGTTCCTCGAAGCTAGACATCGTATTAATTACAGATCGGAGGCGTGCGCAGCGTACTGTCAGAAAATGGCAACGATTTCACAGCGACAATTAATTGCAACAGCAACAAAAGGTAAATAGATGTATGCAGGAAGAATTTTCATGTACCAGAGCAATTGCTTTTTAATTGCTCCCTAATTTCCGAGCCCTGTAAACAAAAAATAACCAACCAGTCCGCGATACAATGCACCACGGTGCACTTTTTTCCTCTTTCGTATCTTATTCTGCGCGATCCGGAGTGGGTAAATGGAACTGCGAATTGTTACGGCGACGTCGGCCGAGTGCGGTAAACGTTCCGCGAAGTGAACGTCACGGCAGTTGTTCAGCTCCCTCGATTAATTACGATTTTTTACTTTTTTACGTGTTTCACGTGCCGGAGTCGTATAGTTCGTTACTACTGTGCTCTCTCTCTCTCTCTCTTTTTCTTTTTCTCTCTCTCTTTTTTCCACTTTTCTTCTCGCTCTTTTCTCTCTCTCTCTCGCTCTCTCTCGCTCTCTCTCTATATCTCTTTTTCCTGTTTTTCTCTCTCCTTTCTCTCTCTTTTTCTCTCTCTCTCTCTATCTCTTTTTCCTGTTTTTCTCTCTCTTTTCTCTCTCTCTTTCTCTCTCTCTTTCTCTCACTCTACCTCTTTTTCCTGTATTTCTCTCTCTTTTCTCTCTTTCTTTCTCTCTCTCTTTCTCTCACTCTACCTCTTTTTCCTGTATTTCTCTCTCTTTTCTCTCTCTCTCTCACTCTCTCTCGCTCTCTCTCTCTGTATCTCTTTTTCCTGTTTTTCTCTCTCCTTCCTCTCTCTTTTCTCTCTCTCTTTCTCTCTCTCTTTCTCTCACTCTACCTCTTTTTCCTGTATTTCTCTCTCTTTTCTCTCTCTCTTTCTCTTTCTCTTTCTCTCTCTCTATCTCTTTTTCCTGTTTTTCTCTCTCTTTTCTCTCTCTCACTTTTTTCCACTTTTCTTCTCTCTTGCTCTCTCTTTCTCTCTCTCTCTCTCTCTATCTCTTCTTCCTGTTTTTCTCTCTCTTTTCTCTCTCTCTTTCTCTCTCTCTCTCTCACTCTCTCTCGCTCTCTCTCCAGAAAAAAAAGAATTGATCACCGCCATGCCGATGCAATTCCATCCATTCCCGAATGGTGCATTCCCCAAAATAAATTGCAACATGAAAATTTTGTTCATCCGGAGCGCCGATGGCAAGGTAATTCATTGTTTGTTGCACTCGCATCGGCAACCGTGCGAAAGAACAACAAATTTCCGGCCATTCTCACGATCGCGAAATCGAAGAGGTTACGAAAGACGCGTAAGCATTCCGCCGCGCATGCAAAGACATTAATCTTCCGCGATGGTAAAGAACGTCTGTGTGTATGTGTTCGGCAACCTGTCTTCACGTCGACAATTTCCGTGCACGGTCGCATCGATATGTGCAATTTCCGGGGCTCGCCGGTTGTCCGAAAAAAGGAAGCCGCTTCCGTGACGTTTCCGATGGTACCGGTGGAAATGACTTGCCGCGACCGGAAACGATCTTTTCCGTTTAGTGGCTTAGATCAAGGCGAAGGAACCCCGTCATTCGCGGCTTGAAGCAGCCAATAAAAATGTCCGAATGCTTTGCATCCAATGGAAATGCTCACGGACTTTCAATGAACAATGTTTATTTTAGGACGATGACATTTATACAGTCGGGGAAAAGATTATTCATCTTATCTTCTAGAAGTGTCTTCGAATTTGTTGTTACTATGTACTTTGTATCGTAAATTCTTGCGATTTTTAGCGTGCCACTTTCATAATAATTTCTTAAATCGACTGTCCTTCGGGTGCTCTTTAATGTCACTATGTCGGTTTTAAATAATTATTTATAATTATTTGCTCTTGTTGTTCGTTTAGTAGAGGATTTATTTCGGAGATTACACTTTCGAGGGGAGTCTATTTTAGTTGATCTACTATTTGTTGTACAGTGAATTTATTTTAGTTAATCTACTTTTCGATTAGAATGGAATCTGTTTGAATTATTTTATTGCACTTTTTGTTCTTTGTTTAGAGGGAAATCAGCTTTAATCGTCCCACTTTCTGTTATTTGTTATCTCTGTTATAGTAATTGTACACTTTCTTGTTTATTTTGAGGGGAATCTATTGCAATTATTCCTTTTTCTGTTATTTGCCTAGAAAAGATTGTACAAAGATTGTTCATCTGTGTAAATTCGTATTGTTTCTGGCAAAATAAAATGGCTGGGTAAATCGAACAGCTTCGACCATTTTAAAAATAATTAACACAGTAATACTCAAAAAGCTTGATGATTTCTCTGAGTACATACAGTGTCCCAAAATAGTGTTCAAGCACCATTTAAAACGCGCCAACTTTTTAAAAACTGGACTAAACGACTTGAACGTTCTTTTTTTTTCAATGATACAGGAACTAGTCTACTAAACAGTGACGAAAAAATGCTTTCTTTTTAATCTCGCTATTACTTGGAATGACAAAAGATAAATTAAAAAATCTTACGCGTTTTAACTTTTTTATCTGGGCCTATAAAGAAAATTTAGAAAATGTACGAACGCATTTGTGGACCATTGTATAAACCAGAGTATAGTGTAATTTTGAATAACGCAGACAATTTTATTCTAAACAATTTCTAGACAACGAAGAACGCGCGGTTCGTTCCTGAAGTAATCAAAATGGCCGACGTCGCGCCTCTAACTCGGTTAACGCACGCCACAGGAATTGATTATATTCATGTCCATTCGAATTACCTGTCCACAATGGTGGGGACCTAATGCAGAACTTCCCAGCCGATGCAATGTTCTCGTACATCGCATCGCCGTATTCGATTCCGATCGGGAACGCGAAACGATTCGACGAGAGACGTCCGAACACGCACTTGAAATCTCGATATAGCTCCGAGCCACCCACATAATTGCGCGGCTAAATAATTGATGGGACGGCGAACCCGGAACACAGTAATTAGTGGGTTATTCATGAAATGTAATAGCGCCGATTCCAGGGCACGCCTGGACGCTTTGCTTACGAACAAAATTCTCCTGTGGATAGACAACGGTCAGCGCCGCCGCCTATTTATGCCGAATGGGAAGCAATCGAGAGCTTTGGGATTAAAGTTAATTGCATCGGCGTTGCAGCGTTCGCTGCTAACTCGAATTCGCGACGGGATTAGCAATTTTTCTGCCGTGTAATAATTTTCGTTTCAATTAGAGCCGAATCATGCTGCTGCACAGAGCGTCCCAAAATTATTACGCTAGCGGGAAATAAATGATTCCTGAGATCATTTCAAGTAACTTTCTCCTCAGCGAAAATGCAATCCGCCGCTTCGTTTACGAGTTATTAACGAAAAACGGTGACCAATGAGAGGCGAGCCCGGTCGGCGCTCCGCCCTCGCGGCCAACGCCGCGTCGCGCTGGCGCAACGTCAGTGGTCGCGAGGGCGGGGCGTCAGCCGTACGCGGTCTCTCACTGGTCAAGCGTTTTTCATCGATAACTCGTAAACGAAGCCGCGGATCGCATTTTCGCTAAGGAAAAAGTTGCTTCAAATGACCTCAGGAAGTATTTCCGATCATTCAAAAAGCGAATCTCCAGGAAGTACCATAATTTTGGCACAGCCTATATAGCCGGAAGCTGTTGGATCCACTCACCGGTAAAGCATGCGCTCCTGTCGGTCCGCCTCGCGGTAGATCTTGTAGTACATGGCGATCATGATGATGCCGGGCACCCAGAAACTGACACTGGAGCTGATCACGGCGTACGGTTTGTTCACTTGGAACACACACACGTCCGGGTAGTTCCTGCGGAACTGTAGGTGCTCCTCGGTGGTGTACCATCCGACGAAGATCGGCAGGAAGCTCATCACGGTCGGCGAGCACCACACCACGCTGAGCATCGTGCTCAGCCTAATGTTAGTCATGATCAGCGGATAGTCCAGCGGCTGTACGATCGCGTAATAACGGTCGACGCTGATGCAACACAGATGCAGGATGGAGACCGTGCTGAAGAACACGTCCAACGAGTTCCAGACGTCGCACATGAAGTAGCCGAAGAGCCATCGGCCGGACAGCTCGACCGAGGCGTTGAAGGTCATCGCGAAGATCGCGACCAGCATGTCGGCGAGGGCCAGCGAGACCACGAAGTAGTTGGTGATCACGCGGAGCTTCCGGTGCCTCATCACGGATACGATCACCAGGAGGTTGCCGAACAGGGCGCTGAGGATGATGAAGCCCATCACGGTGGCTTTGAGTATCAGCAGCAGGACCTGCTCGAACTCGTGACCCTGGTCGTAGCTGCTGGTCCGGTTCTCCTGGCCGGTGTCGATCAGAACGGTCGATATGTTCGAGAACTCGGTCGCGTTCCCGGTCTCCTCGTCCATTGTTCCGTTCACCTCCATCTTGGCTGGACCGCAAGTCCCTCTTTGGCTCGCGCTTGATCCCGTTACCGCGATCGTCGGGACTCTTCCTCGCCCTGTGCCACGCCGGATACGTCCCCGACGCGATTCAAGCTGTCCTGCCAGCCCATCGAGGACTCAGGATCGAGATTCAATGCGTTCGCCCGACGATAGCCGACCTCTGGCCACGGTGGATGGATAGAAGCGACCCGGATCCCGGCGAAAGCTTCACCGCTCGATCGAGTCGCGTGGACATTTTCAGGGACCCGGACACGTGCACCGGGCACAATCGGATGCAGTGTTTATCGAAGGAGCCTAGCGCACGGTGGCCGACGTTGATCTATACCGGTCCACAGCAAGATGGCCGCCCCGCGAAGCTCCCTTTGGCTGGATTCCAGGTGGTGCTCTCGCCAGTTCGATTTTCATCTGTGCGCGACGCCGGGACCACCGGCTCTGCGTTCCACAGCACTTTTTGTACATCGTGCCCGCCTGCAATTGGAAAAATAAAAGGGTTTCAGATTCTCGTCAGTGACGCTTTAATCCCGGCGCACGGTCGTCGAGAACGTAAGAGGATCGGATTGATCAAAGTATAGCCGCGCGAATGGCCACGCTGGTTATAGTCCGCGGGAACTAGGGGCCCTATCGTGGTTACCCGAACGGGGACTTTCAAACGGCATTGGATTGGTCAAAGTCGATAATGGGTTGTTTGATTATAGTCGCGTGATCCCCTTTCGAGGCCTCGTTCGAGAGCTTCGACGGCTTTTCTTGTGAAGGACTTTGGAAGAGCGTTCGATTGTTATAGGTCCGGTATTGATTAATTCGTGGCTCCAACGATTGTGGTCGTTGAAACTCTAGATTTTTTTTAGGCTAGATGTCGGGTTCGGATTAATCGACCACATCGACCAGGGGGCGCTCTAATCCGGGACCTTCGAGAAATCGATTTTCTTCTCGTTTCGTTTTCTGTAATATTTTTTTGCGGATATGTCGACCGAAGGATATTGTCGAATTCGAGAAATTAATGAAGTAAAAGGGATGATGGAATAAAAAGGATCTAAGCATAGCCTGATCCATGGAGGTCGGCAAAAGAAGGCTGGCAGATTAGCTGTAAATATGATTTCTTTAACTAAATGATGCAAAAAGTTTTGGACGCGTTTCTCTTCAAACTATGTTCTTTAAATTAATTGCCACGATATCTCAAGATCTACTTGACTGACTTTATTCGCGTACCTTCAGCACACGTGCCGCTATAGTTCGAACCACAATGAGGTCAAAATCAGTATTTTTTTCTACCCTTTTTAGCGCGCTAAAGTTAAAAGAGACCAACAAAAATCGATGTGTCAAAGTGCTGCCATCTTTTCAATTATCAATTTTGTCCTTCCCTCGTGGTTGATATTAATTAATAATTTCTATTTTATTTATTTTGTTAAATTTATTAATAAATTTTATTTATTTGTTTTTTGTTTCAGGCAAACGGAACAGTCGGAATCATGGTGACCAAGGTGTAATAAGATTTTGGAACAATTTATTAGAAGACTAAATTACAGAGAGAAAGAGAGAGAGAGAGAGAGAGAGAGAGAGAGAGAGAGAGTTAGAAGAATAAATTTTAAAGACATTTATCGAAAGAATAAATTTTAAAGAAAATCAACAGAATGTGAATTTTAAGAAATTTCTTAGGAAAATAAATTTTAATAGAACTAATTAGAAGAAAATCATATAAAATTATAGAAAATATATCAGATTAATTATAAGAAAATTATACAAGAAATAATGAACAATTTAAGAGAATAAACTATGTTGGAAGTATTATTCGTAAAAAAATGCAAAGCAAAACAATTCGATTGCATCTCAAAATCTGAACTTCCAGCCCCGTTCTCCCTTATATAACAATGTTAAATTTAATCATAGTAAGAAAATGTAATGTAATTCGCTGGAATTTAAGATTAATCAGCCCTCATAATTGTGATAGCTCCGCGTTAAGTGGTTCTTAATTAGGGAATTAGTTGAGAATTCATGAACCGTGATAGTTAACGAGACTTTGAAGATAGGTGTTCTACATGTGTTGATTTAACGTCCAAGAGAAATCTGTATTATAACCTTTACTTCGCAGTGACAGAACCGAATAATACACCTGTCAGTGAAATTAATCATTCTAATTAGCACGATTAAATAGTACATATAAAATAAACCCTTTTTACGAATTAATTTTTAATTGCAAATGCATCGAAATGATACCGTGGCGAAAGATTTCAACGCTGCGCACGGCTCGCGAGAGAAATGAAAATTACCGCGAAATGGAATCGCGAACTGATTACCGAGAATAATATTTTGACGATTTATAAATGAGCATTGTTCATCGAACGATCATCGATGCCAAGAGATTTGTGGGAACATCTGCGCATTCAGCATCGAAGGTTTAAATCCATCGAACGATGTAGTATAAAACAATAAACACGCAATTAATGCACACAATAAATACACAATTAAAAAAATTCGAATAGAATAAAGTCGTAATTAATACAATAAAATCGTAGAGATCTTAGAGAGAGAGAGAAAAAATTGTTCTCATCGTCGAACATAATATAATTGCTACTGCAAATTCAAGATGATTAATAATACACACAATAAATACACAATTTAAAAAATTCGAATATAATAAACTCGTAATTAATACAATAAAATCGTAGAGATCTTAGAGAGAGAGAGAAAAAATTGTTCTCATCGTCGAACATAATATAATTGCTACTGCAAATTCAAGATGATTAATAATACACACAATAAATACACAATTTAAAAAATTCGAATATAATAAACTCGTAATTAATACAATAAAATCGTAGAGATCTTAGAGAGAGAGAGAGAGAGAGAGAGAGAGAGAGAGAGAGAGAGACAGAAAAAATTATTGTCATCGTCGAACATAACATAATTGCTACTGCAAATTCAAGATGATTAAACTGTTAGCTCGGACATAATTACAACCCCGCGTTTAACAAGCCATTTTAATTACCTTGTAACGTCTTATTCCATTTTCTATTTCACGGATAATTAACAAGACTGTCCGTAAACGCGCGAAACGATTTTTCACATATTTTTCCGCCCCGTTTATCCGACACACACCGGGAGTCATAATTCGATTCTCGGCGTATTCGATTCGAGCGAAATTAAATAACGCCACGCGTATTATTCAAAATTAAAAGGCTGACGCCTTGATCGTCGCTGTCCGAGCGACGACTGTCACACTGTATTTTTAATCATGATTTCCCTCGCGGGCTCGGCTTCCGAAATGAAAGCTTCGAAAATCGCCTCTGTCAGCCATTCATGACACCTATTATGCTGATCCGGCTAGATATTCAACGTTGAAAATTTATTCATAAATTCCATTTCGGTCTTGAATCTCATTAACGAACCCAATTACAATGGAAAATTAAATCATCGCTGCTAATCGACGATGAACGGAGGGCAGGAATATCCGTCGTGCTCTGTCCGCTATGATTTCTAGCTTCCCTGTGTTTAGTGTATATGGCAATTTATTTCACCTCCGTGAATTACTTCGTGAGACACGAATCAGCAGAAACATCGCGGTATTTCAAGAATTCCGCGGGCTATTATTTACAATAAATTATAACATCAGCGAGCGAAAAAATTGTTTCGCTTCTTGGACAATTTATTATATGTTTAGGATAAAAACCTTTCTATGCATCAACTCAATAGACTTTTTAATATAACAACTAATTAAAAAA